GCGCCACTCCCCGCGTGTCCCCGCGCTTGGTCGCTCACCGTACTTGACCTGCACCACGTCCCCGACCACCAGGTCGGCCACGGGCACCTGCGCCAGGCGCCCGCCGCGCAGGACGGCCACGCGCTGCTCGCGCTCCAGGCGGCTCTGCAGCCCCCGGAACTGCCGCTCCTTGCTCCAGTCGTTGGACGCCGTCACCAGCACCACGCAGGCCACCGAGAGCAGGATGGCCGCACCCTCGATCCAGCCGGCCTCCGCCTCGCCCTCGTCCTCCGCGCCCCCCGAGGCCTGCCCGCACGCTGGGGACACGGCGACACGCGCGTCACGCGTGGGGGCACGGGTGGCACGTGTGGGGACGGGGGTGGCACATGTGGAGACATGGGCGACACATGTGGGGATATGGGCGACACACGTGAGGATATCGGTGACGCACGTGGGGATATCGGTGATGCACGTGGGGACATGGGTGACACACGTGGGGATATCGGTGACGCACGTGGGGATATCGGTGACGCACGTGGGGACATGGGCAACACACATGGGGATATCGGTGACGCACGTGGGGATATCGGTGACACACGTGGGGACATGGGCAACACAGTGGGGATATCGGTGACGCACGTGGGGATATCGGTGACGCACGTGGGGATATGGGCAACACATGTGGGTACAAGGGGACAGAGGTGTCCCACATGGCGACACGCGTGTCACATGTGGGGTCACAGGTGGTACACATGGGGACAGAGGTGGCACACATGGGGATATGGGCGACACATGTGGGGACATGGGCGACACACATGGGGATATGGGCAACACATGTGGGGACAAGGGGACAGAGATGTCACACATGGCGACACGTGTGTCACATGTGGGGGCACAGGTGGCACGTGTGGGGACAGAGGTGGCACATGTGGGGACAGTGGTGGCACATGTGGGGACATGGGCAACACACATGGGGATATCAGTGACACACGTGGGGACAAGGGGACAGAGGTGTCACGGCGACAAGCGTGTCACGTGTGGGGACACAGGTGTCACACATGGGGACATGGGGACAGAGGTGTCACACGTGGGGACAGAGGTGTCACACGTGGGGATATCAGTGACACACGTGAGGACATGGAGGGATACAGGTGACACGCGTGGGGACACCAGTGTCACGTGCAGGGACACGGCCAGGGGTGTAGGGAACGTGGGATGGGGACATGGGGACACAGGGATGGGGATTTGGGGACACAGGGACTTGGGGACACAGGGATGGAACAGGGGGACAGGACATGGGGACACAGGGTTGAGGATATGGGGACACGGCGATGAAGATTTGGGGACACGGGGACACGGGGATGGCACTGGGATGGGGACATGGGGACACAGGGATGGGGATTTGGGGACACAGGGACTTGGGGACACAGGGATGAGGATATGGGGACAAGGGGATGAGGATTTGGGGACACGGGGATGAAGATTTGGGGACATGGGGACACGGGGATGGCACTGGGATGGGGACATGGGGACACAGGGTTGAGGATTTGGGGACACAGGGACTTGGGGACACAGGGATGAGGATATGGGGACAAGGGGATGAGGATTTGGGGACATGGGGACACAGGGATGGGGATTTGGGGACACACTGATGGGGATTTGGGGACATGGGGACATGGGGATAAGGACATGCGGACACGGGGACACGGGGATGGCACTGGGGTGGGGACATGGGGCGGGGACACCGAGCTGGGAACACGGGGACAGCAGACAGGGCACAGGGCTGGGGCTGGCAGCAGGATGGGGACACGGTGGCGGGGCCGTGGGGACAGCGGCGTCACCTTCATCGGCGGCGCCGGGGGGCGCGTAGAAGGACAGCCCCAGGGACACGAGCGCGGCCACCTCGAGGATGACGAGGGTGACGTCCTGCAGGGCCTCCCACACCAGCGCCGCGAAGCTCTTGGGGCGCCGCGGGGGGATCCAGTTCCGGCCGAACACCCGGCGGCGGCGCTCCAGCTCCGGGGGACCCTCGGAGAGCCCTGGGGACACGGGTGTCACCCCCACCGCCACCCTGGGGACCCTTGGACAGCCCTGGGGACACGGGTGTCACCCCCACCGCCACCCCGGGGACCCTCGGACAGCCCTGGGTGACACCCCTGGGGAACCCTGATAGCCCTGGGGACACGGGTGTCACCTCCACCGCCACCCTAGGGACCCTTGGACAGCCCTGGGTGACACCCCTGGGGACCCTCGGACAGCCCTGGGTGATACCCCTGGGGACCCTCGGAGAGCCCTGGGGACACGGGTGTCACCCCCACCGCCACCCTGGGGACCCTTGGACAGCCCTGGGTGACACCCCTGGGGACCCTTGGACAGCCCTGGGGACCCTCGGACAGCCCTGGGGACACGGGTGTCACCCCCACAGCCACCCCGGGGACCCCCTGATAGCCTTGGGGACACAGATGTCATCCCACGGCCACCCTGGGGACCCTCGGACAGCCCTGGGGACATGGATGTCACCTCCACTGCCACCCTGGGGACCCCCTCATAGCCCTGGGGACACGGGTGTCACCCCCACCGCCACCCTGGGGACCCCTGGGTCAGCCACAGCCACTCTGGGTTGGGGGGGTCTGGGGGGGTCCCGCGTGGTTTTGGGGGTTCCAGATAGTTTTGGGGGTCCGGGCGTTTCTGGGGAGGTCCCGGGTGGTTTTGGGGAGGTCCCGGGTGGTTTTGGGGGTCCGGGGGTTTTTGGGGAGGTCTCAGGTGGTTTTGGGGGGGTCCCAGGTGGTTTTGGGGAGGTCCTGGTGGTTTTGGGGGTCCAGGGGTTTTTGGGGAGGTCCTGGGTGGTTTTGGAGAGTTTTGAGAGTGCCGGGCTGGGGGGTCCCAAGCCTTTCCGGGGGAATGAGGGGATCTGGGGGTGTCGGGGCGGGTTCCGCGGGGTCTCGGTGGGTTTTGGGGGGTCCCGGGGGGGCGTTACCGTCGGTGGGGGAGGTGCGCAGGCGGCGGCAGAGCCCCGGGACCCCCCCCAGGTCCCGCTGCAGCTTCAGGAGCGCCTCGGAGCCCCGGAGCTCCATCAGCGCCCGCAGCTCCGGCAGCGCCAGCCCGAAACCCCCCCCGGCGTCCCCCATGGCGGCCTGGGGACAGGGACAGCGCGGGGACACCGCTGGGGACAGCCTTGGGGACAGGGACAGCGCGGGGACAACGCTGGGGACAGCGCGGGGACAGCGCTGGGGACAGGGACAGCGCTGGGGACAGGGACAGCGTGGGGACACCGCTGGGGACAGGGACAGCGCGGGGACAGCGCGGGGAACAGCCTTGGGGACAGGGACAGCGCTGGGGACAGGGACAGCGCGGGGACACCGCTGGGGACACCGCTGGGGATAGGGACAGCGTGGGGACACCGCTGGGGACAGCGCGGGGACAGCGCGGGGGACAGCCTTGGAGACAGGGACAGCGCGGGGACAGGGACAGAGCGGGGACAGGGACAGAGCGGGGACACCGCTGGGGACAGCGCGGGGACAGCGCTGGGGACAGGGACAGAGCGGGGACACCGCTGGGGACAGCCTTGGGGACAGGGACAGCGCAGGGACAGGGACAGAGCGGGGACAGGGACAGAGCGGGGACACCGCTGGGGACAGCGCGGGGACAGCGCTGGGGACAGGGACAGCGCTGGGGACAGGGACAGCGCGGGGACACCGCTGGGGACAGCGCGGGGACAGCGCTGGGGACAGGGACAGCGCAGGGACACCCCTGGGGACAGCGCGGGGGACAGGGACAGCGCGGGGACACCACTGGGGACACCGCTGGGGACAGGGACAGCACGGGGACAATGCTGGGGACACCGCTGGGGACACCGCTGGGGACACCGCTGGGGACAGGGACAGTGCGGGGACAGCGCTGGGGACAGGGACAGAGCGGGGACACCGCTGGGGACAGCGCGGGGACACCGCTGGGGACAGGGGACAGCGCTGGGGACAGCGCGGGGACAGCGCTGGGGACAGGGACAGCGCGGGGACACCGCTGGGGACAGCGCGGGGACAGCGCTGGGGACAGCCTTGGGGACGGGGACAGCGCGGGGACACCCCTGGGGACAGCGCGGGGGACAGGGACAGCGCGGGGACACCCCTGGGGACAGCGCGGGGGACAGGGACAGCGCGGGGACACCGCTGGTGACACCGCTGGGGACAGGGACAGCACGGGGACAATGCTGGGGACAGGGACAGAGCGGGAACACCGCTAGGGACAGGGGACAGCCTTGGGGACAGCCATGGGGACAAGGGACACCACTGGGGACATGGGGACAGCGCTCAGGCCACCGCTGGGCGTCTGGGGATGGGCCTGGGGACATGAGAGCAGCGCTGGGGACAGCGCTCAGGGTTTGGGGACACGGCTGAAGGCTTGGGGACACACCAGAGCCGGGGGACACCGAGCACAGCGTGGGGACAGCAGGAGGGACAAGAGCGGGGACAGCGATGGGGACATGGAGGGGGACAGGGATAGGGGACATCCCTGGGGACATCCCTGGGGACAGGGACAAGGGACATCCCTGGGACATCCTTGGGGACAGGGACAAGGGACATCCCTGGGGACGTCCCTGGGGA